TATGTGGGCCAAAAGAACTGTTTTCATTCTAGGCCATGTAAATTATTATTTGTTTTAGGGAAGGGTTTACAGAGTTACCAGTGCCTCTTAAATATAAGCCTGGCAAAAAAAAAAAAATAGCAATATGGTTTTTCTTTATTGTTCAGTCAAAACCTAAATGCTACATGTTATGAACAGAAGTAAGGACTTGACAAAGCAAAGACTTATTAGGACTTATTTTGCATCATAAAAAGCCACATGTCTGGCCAAAGGACTGAAAGGAGATTTAGATCAACACAAGGCAGATTTTGAAAAAATTTCTGAAGGAAAGGGCAGGAATTATTATTTAGAGTGAGTAGAAACCATAGAGCTGACAAAAGACTTCAAGGAAGCGGGGGAGAAACTATCTGGATGATCCTGCTGCTGCTCTGTCTCTGTAAGGGGCAGTATAATCCTAGCTTTGAAAATACACATCACTAACCCCAAACCACCCCAAACTAAATATAGTACTGAAATAGAAAGGAAATTTTGAGCTCAAACCAGACATAGCAGCCCTGAGACTACTGAATTTGCTGTACCAATTACCTGTCCACAATATTACATAGTCTCCAACCAAATACTATTAGTGTGGTTCTCAGAGTAATTCAAAGACACTGCTGCACTTCCTCAAATCATTTTTGGACGTCTCACAAGCTTCCAAGAGAATCATCATTCTTAAGGGTAAAGCACAGGAGATGATTTGTTCACATGTTTCAGTACAATCTGGTTTTCAAAAATTTGTTGCTTCCACATCTTTTTGTATCTGAGTTTTTAGATTTGTTTAAAGGTAAGAAAAGTCTTCACATTTCTCAAACACCAGCTTGTTTTTTTTTTTTCTTCTAAGAGAGCAAAAGAGGGTTTCTAGTACTTCACTAAACCAGGGCTCACTTCTGTTGGTCTGCAGGGAAAGAAGGCTGAGGCATCAAAAGCATTGCAGTTAGTGAATTTAATCCTTCCGATGCAATTAGTCTGCAATGAGATCTGATTAAATTTAAAGACTCAAACCTCAAGTCCAGTACTTTGGGTCAAGACATAAATAGACAAAGAGGATGAAAGAGAAGTCTGCTGTGGGCTTAAATGAGCCCTGGGCTCCACAGCTCAGGCTAAGATTTCTGAGGAATGCAAGCCAGGTGGATTGATTTAACACAGCATTAAAAAACATCTGGAAAAGAAAAATATGTACATCAAAAATAATCATGAGACAGTCTTCTCAGTGTAAAATAACCAGTGGAATGTGTGACATATAAAATAAGTTTCTGCACACATACCCACACTGCCACCATCAGCTTTGCTTTCTCATTTATTTAGGGGAACCTGTAATTGGCAAACAGGCCCTTCCTTTCCCATGGATAACAGAGGAGGTGCTGAGCTGCTGGAGACTTCAACACTGCTGCAAAATAGAGGATGTGTTCATACCTGTTTGTGCAATGGACACTTGCTGTGCAATATTATCTTGTCTCTACAGATAAATTAGTTGCTTCATGCTCCTGCCAGCTTGATTTGTTTAGCCTTTACAGAGTACAGAATCCATGGAGTTTCTTGTGATTGAATCTCACGTAAAAGGTAAACCTGAGAGCTTATTCTACACTAAGCTATACATCCACCCAGGCAGCCAGAGCATTTGCTGACTTGATGATGAAAAGAAGGCTATAAAACATACCAGGGAAATCTTGAAACGTCGCTCACTTGACATAGCAATAAGAGCCCTGCATTAAGATGCAGAGCTGATTTCCCTGATCCATGAAATTACCTGGATATTTAAGGCATTCTCAAACAGAACCAGCATGAAACTCACCCTCCGTTCCTGGCACAAGGACACCGTGGGTTTTGTGCTCTCCAATAAAAAGAGAGCTCAAAATTGCAGAGATTAATAGTCTTTAAGGGAGCACCTAAACACAATTTCCTCCTTTTCTCAAATAATAAGAAATAAGTATTCACAATCTCTTGAATGCTAAAAGAAAGCTTTGCTTGATGACACACTGTTCAGGTGCCTGAGATACTCAAGTTCTCTGTTGTGAGTGGTTCAAGAACCTCTCACAATAAAACAGTGTGCAATTCTGTGGCCATCTTTGGAGAAGGACAATTGTTTCTCTCATAAACAGGTGACAGGGCTGGAATAGGTACAATAGGTGGAAAGCTATGAAAAATGTTATGAAGGAATATATTACATTATTTTGCTGTCTGAGACTGGGGACATGGTTCAGAATTCCTTACCATGTGTACATTTCCAGCTGCTAAAGGGTGGGAAAAGACCCATCTCTACTTACAAATATTGGTGAACTGAGGGTCACGTACAATTGCTTCCAAAGACCCATCCAGTGAAAACACACAGTAAAGGGGAATTTGCAAGGGCCATCAGCTGCCCTAGAACATTGACTGCAGGCTCTGCTACCTTAGATGCCAAGGAGGAACAGAGTTCAGCAATAAAGAAACTACAGTTAGATCATGAACAACTTCCCATTAGGGAACTAGAAAGGCTTTAACACAAAATGCACAGAGCAGCAGCTTCCACACCACCAAAAGGGACATGTAACCCTGGCAGTGACATCTTATCACTGATTTCTAGCCAAAATCACATGGAAAGGGTCTTCTCCTTCCAACCTGCTGCATACATTGCACATATAATTTTCAGCATCTCCATTGCTAAGACAGACCTGAGACACACATTCAGGTTCAAGATTTTTCTTGTACATGGATTACCATTTCTTCTTGTGGACAAAGAAGGAGAATTCCTTAATCTTTTTCAGTCTCAGTTTTTGTCTTCAGCTAGGCTGATAGCTCTTCCCATTTTGTAGCAAAATTTTGTAATGAGCAATTGAAAAGTCAATACTCCTCTGCTTCCTGTATTTCTGTTCCTCCATAACAAATACAGTATTTATTTATATATTTACACAGGTATACAGAATTACAAAAAAATACAACTGGAAAAGACTCTTGAAACCATCTGGTATGTAACCCCATTCAAAGCAAAATCAGCTACACCTAATTAGCTCCTGAGATACGCTTGCCTACCCTACTTAAACAGTCTCCACAAACTCCCTTGGATATTTGTGATGTTTTGCTATTTTTACTTTTAGAATGTTTTTCTAATGTTTGGTCTGTTCCAGAAATTTTAATTAAAAGCTCTCTCAGAGGAGACTGGATTATTGTGGATTCTCATACATGAAAAGAAAACCCCAAATAAATCCACATCCAGAAACACGACACATTGAATTCAAGGTTCGTAAATTATTTGTAGGTCGCATAGGTGTTGTTTCAAGCCTTGTGATTCAGAAAAGTTTAAATGAAACCAGCTATTTATGTATCCATGCTATTGTTCACTTAAAAGAAGATCTTGATCACAGTAATTTCTTTCCTGATTGAAGTTTTGAAAGCTCTAAATTCTCTGAAGAAAATAGTTGTTGGCATTTTTGGATGATAAACATCCCAAAGCGATGATGATAAATTACAGTGTTGCCCAATGATGCAGAAAAGTAGAGAAATTTAAACTGATAACCTCTGATTTATGAATACACACTCATAATTGCAAAGTCTGGGGGTTCACAGTTGTAAGCACGGGTCATTTTCATCTCAGTGTTTATTAAAAGTGTGAGAAGGAGGCATGATGGGTGGCTGCCATTTTGTAATGAACACTTAATGCTCTTTGTTTCCAGTACAAACCCAAAGCAAAACAGAGCTTCCTGCCTTTTTAAGGCCTACATAAGCATTTGTTACTGTTCACATTTTGTACATCTCTGCTCACTCATATAAATAATTCTTCTCACATATAACCATTCCTACATACCTTTTCTTAATAGAGAGAAAAACACTTGTCCAAATTATTAAAATAAATCCTCACTTTTTCATCATAAATCATACTGGTGATAATAACAAAATTTACTTCAAAAGTATTTTAACTTATTATTTCACCTATCAACCAACACTGCCAGTGAAACCCACCCAGTGCACTCCAAGTCATGAGTCAAGGAATCTGTTTTGTCACAGTACAGAAATAAATCTTGTTATATTCCTTCATCACATCCCAAGCTTGGTAATATTCTAATTTCTTCTTCTCTCTCCCTATTACCTCTCTGTTAAATATTCAAAGCAGGCAGCAAAAGGCAGAAGGAAAAATAAGGTCAATTCAGCAAATTGAAAAAAAAGTAAAATGTTCCTATCCACCATCATTTGGTTGTTACAGTTATCTTAATCAACTCAAACAGGTTCTCTGAGACATCTTATTTGATTTTACAAAGTGCTAACCCATAGCTATATTTGACTTTCCTCTGATTCCAAATGTAAAAATAGTCTTTATCTAACGTTGAGGCATATCATCTAACTACACATGCAATTGCATTTGCATTATGAGGCAGTGAAACATGGCTGGAGAGACATCTTGGATGTTATCTGTGTTATTACTCAAGTGGAGAATATAATCATAAATCCTTCTCTTCCCTTCCACCCTCCCACCTTTTTTTTTTTGGAAGTACACTTAAAATCTGTTTTTTTGCTTCACTGGGCCCATTACATTTAAACTTCAGTAACAAGAATGTGATATGAATACACTGAGAGAAAGCATAGAATAGACAAAAGGTATATTTTCATAATGTGGTTCAGTTTAACTGTTCCTACAATTAGCTACAACTCATTAGGCAATAAACAGAAAAACAAAGAGATCCTGAATGGAAGGGCAATATTTTCTCCATAAAACAAACAAAAAACAGAACCAGATGCCTTTTTCATGAGGCTTTCCTTGCATAAATACACCCAGCAGCTTAGAAAAGATATTTTCTTGATTGAAAATTTTTGTCCAGGAAGAAAACGTGTAAACATTAGCTTGTGCAATTTCAATAAAAAGTATTTACTGCTATTGTACACTTGGGATTTTTTGATCTCGAGCATAAAGTCACACTACAGCAATGCACTGCAGATGAACGAGCTTTGATCTTTTATTAGTTCCTATAATTGTGTCTTAATTTGTATTCTGCATAATGAGCACTCACCTTCACTGTTTGTCCAGCTTCAGGGCCATCCTGTAAACAAAAGGAAAAGTCTCAGGTTAGAGGATCTAACAAGGATCACACAGTAATTCAGAAATCTTACTCAACAGTCATTTACATCAATTACACTGTCTCTTAAATTAGCATATTTTTCCACAGGACTATTCAACACTAAGTTTTTGGACAAAGCTCCTTTCCATATCACACCCCAGCAAAGAGGGAAACTATCTCACATCACAAAAACAAGTTTCTATTTTTCATTTTTTCAGATTATATTTTTCAATAGCTAGCAATAGATTTCTGATCCTTGTGAACATAAATCCACACATGGAATAAGAATTTAATCAAACTGTGCTTGCTTAAATTCTGATTCTAATGAATGGGCTTAGTGTCCTGGTTTGCTTTAAACAGAGTTCATTTTTGGTATAAAAACACCCAGCACAAACAACTGAAAGGTCAGAATTTATAATGTATTTACATGGCTACAGATCCCTGCCTGCATATAAATATCTGTGAGGAGGGATCACCTATCTCAAGTATGTACAGTGGGTTGTGTGTGCAACAGGGGCTGTGGCTGCCTTCTCCAGAGGTCAACCCTGCCAACACTTCTTTGAAGGAAGAATATTTCCTGAAATACTCACAAACAAGCACAGCATTTGAGAGTGTTTGCTGCCTTTCTCCAAGGCTTTGCAGTCAGTAATTAACCACACTTTCCCACTGGTTTCCTCTTTAGATTTCTCAATGGCAAATCTGGAATACTGCAATGCAGTTATTTGGCTTCTTGTCTGTTATTGCTGTTATTTTGCATTTATTGCTCCTTGAAGTTCCTTTTGTGATTGGGCTGGGGGAAAAGGCTGAAAGCTTGATAAAACAAACCATTAAACCTTTCTCAGCTGACTGGTTTACCAACCTGGATGGAAAAGGTGAGAGAAGTGCCACAGAAATGTTTCTCCACCACGTTGCCGACCCTTTGTGCCGTACGGAACAAATCAGCCACTTCCTCGGGACGCAGGTCACGGAAACGCTCCACCGGCCGCAGGGGACAAACAAGGACATCTGAGGGTGGCAGTGTCAAGGCTCAAACACAAATCTGAGTGCTCTCAATGCCCAGCCTGGAACCTGGTTCTGATCAACCTTGAATTGTCTGAGCTCCTCCTCTCTGGTGACACAGCAAGAGTATCAGAAACACACGGCTAATTACAGGGAATTATACAATGCTGTGTTCAGAATTCTTTTCCTCAAATATGGACGAATATTCCCTCAGATATGGACAAAAATTACCAAGGCTCTTGTGCTGTACTGAGACCTTTAAGGGAAAGCAAATTTTTCACAGACTCAAATTTACCATCACAATGGAGAAATGCTGGTATTTATCTCCTGTGAAAGTCAGAGACATTTTCTTTTGTGATTAAAAATGGAGGAAAGCCAAAGCAATTTAAGAGGGTTTTGGATGTGTTGTCTGAGACAGCAGTTTACAATGCTTTTCCCCATATGTGATATATTTTTTTTGAAAATCTTGATCTGACCCCTCTAATTTTAGGCACCTAAACATGACAAGCTGGCACTATGCTGATCACAGCAGATCACTTATTTCTACACATTATTTACAATTCACGAGGAAAGCTCACCTGTTGTAACTATAACGTGTATTTTTAAAAATACATTAAGATAATTAAGACTATTTCCTTTTAAGCACCGTGTTCACAATCCTGTAAATATACTTTGATTTAATTCTACCTTGGTGACTGTGATTTGACAGTCAGTGAAATGAAGTTATAAAGTAAATAATGGAAGTACACAGATGCTGCTTACAGTCATCTGATCTGCTGTGTTCACAGTAATTAATAATTGCTATGATTCCTCACTTGAAAGTCAATTATGCAACATTACTAATATGGTCCAGAATTCTTAGCAGAGCCTCAGTTGTGTAGATCCAACAAGCAAGTACTTGATTCTCATTTCAATTCCCTGCAGACAGAATTCTTTGCTGACTTACAGAACAGAATTTGCAGAATGAAGACCTTAAAGTAACCTTTAACACCACTTGAACTTTCATGACCAAAGGCTACGAAAATTATTTTTTCCAGTATTAAAATAAGTATTCAAAAGACTATTTGAAGAAAATTAAGTTCCATGCCATTGTATTACAGTCATCTTTATTTTTACTGCATCTTGAAGCCTGCAGGTGTTCAGGAATATTCTCTATAATCCAGGAAAGGTAACTAGGAGCTGCTCTGCAGTTAACAGGTTCACAAAAAGGTTACATCAACCTGATTGTCAAGAACCATGTGAGACATTTGAAATAAGATTAATACATGTGAAAGATCAATTATTTCCATAAGCACAGAGGCAACATGTTTACGTACACCAAGGTTATATTATAAAAATCACACTTATCATTCTGATAGGACAGAAAACCAGACATTTTCTCAAAGTAAAGATTTAGTGGCAGGTTTTGATTATTTTTCTAAATCCAGATGAGAACAGACAAGTCTGTAATGGATATTTGCTATAGTGGGAGCAGAATTGAGCAAGCTCTACCTGTAGCAGCTCCCAAGAGAACAAGAGAAGACTGGTCCCAGCTGTGGGTGCTAATCTGCTTTGAAAATCTGTCTCTCAGGGGTTTTTTGTACAGAATCAGCTATGCCACTCCTATTGTCCTTTTCGCTTGTTACAGCTTATGTTATTAACATTTAAGAAAGGAAAAAAATATATTTAGAAAGCAGGCATTTGGAAACAAAACAATCGTGGATGGAGACAAAACTCCTCATTTTGTGGGGTTTTAGTTCTGCAATGCTGTTTCCCTTGGTAAATTACCAGGCATAGTAAACCCCTTGTAATTCAGTTGTGCCTTCCCAGTGCATTGTACAGAGCACATCCATAAACGATGCTATTGGCTAAACTTGGGGCCTGAAGGAAGAGCTGCAAAGTTGATTGGCAGACCTGATTTCCATACCAGGAATATAGGAATGGAAAAACTAATTAATTTTACTCATAAGAAGGAAATCCATGTCAACACTAAAACAGGAAAAAGGACATTTGTTTAATCTGAATTCATTTTTCCAAAGGAGAGAAGGGAAGCTTGTACCCTTAGGGCATCTGATACTTAAGTAGATAATTATCCTTCTTCTGCAGCACTGCTTTATTATCATGGCTCAATGAACCATTTATAAATGAAGAATTTCCCCTCACTTACCTCTAGCAAAACTGCTGCTTACATTATGACAAGTTTCCTTTTCTCCTTTCGAGTTTTCCCCAGCAGCGTCTCACCCTCTCAGACTCGCGCATGCCTCACCAGCACTTGTTTGTTCTCTACCTAGCTCAGGGCCACAGCCACAATTTTTGCATTAATGCTGGTTCCTACAATCTGATGTTAGCACTGTACTGTTTGCCACTGCAATGGGCTGTGGAAAACATGAGGCAAACAGTTCTTGGGAGAGCTTTTGTTTCCATGGCACATCGCAGAGGGAGCGATGGCTGGTTCTGGCCAAGACAGGACAGGTTTTCTCTTAATTTTATCACTAACCTGCACTGCCATTTTGCAAGTTCTCTGTATCTCTCTTTGTCTGTCCTCTTCCATACATCATCTGTCTTATCTGCTTAGACAGCACTTGCCAGCTGGTGCAGTGGAGGTTTCTTATTAACCAAGAACATCTCTGCTCATGTTGGGCCCCCAGTGCTCCTGCAGTACCGAATGCTGCACCCATGGCATTCTGCAAAAAGGACTTGCACTTCCTCCTTACATTACCAAAACTCATTTACAACTCAAACTAGATTTTAGCTATATTTCTGTCTTTGAATTTGATAAATAATTCAAAGGCACAATCATAGAATGGAGCATCTTCTCTGAACTTTCCATCATTTCAAAATAATTCTACAAAGAATAATGATAGAAATTCTGAATCAGAGCTACATTAACATGAGAATGTAATTAGGACAACATTCAAGTTATATTTAGCTATGAATATATTAAAAGGAAAATGTTAGAATGAATTCATGAATTGGAGGTCATTAGGAAAACAACCATCCACTGCAACTTTAAATCATAGTTTTTAACTAAAGTTTTTGATGCTAGGATAGTTTTTAATTTTATACCTGGTTTGATTTTAAGCTCTACACCTGTTCCATTCACCTCAGAGTTCTTACTAAGTTTAAAATTAGATCAACTGTTCATTACTTTCTACAATAACCCACTGTAAACCCTGCTATGAAACCACTTCAGGTGACTATGTATTAAAATGTGAGAGAAAGTGAGTCTGTGCTTATGTTTATGTGCAATTACTCCTTAGACTGAAGCATCCACTGCCATCTGAGATGCCTCAGGGCATCCAGCTGCCACTCCAGAAGGGCTGGAGTCTCCCATATGCCCTACATCATAACTCAGGTGGGACCCCTGAGTCCTCTTGGGCTATCTGAAATGGCCACAGGTGCCTGGGTGTGTCCTTTAACAGTGGCTCAGCAGGACAAGGTGCTGCCACCCAGCACAGACATGTGCAGCACTGCTGGCAGCATTCAGCCTTCAGAAAGTTTGAACTTTAGCTTTCCTTTCTCTGAGCACTGTAATTAATAAGTTTTTGATTTCTTCATCCATTCTGAACTGCTACAGACTGATGAAGTTTCTATTTTTAAGCTTTGATGTGCACAGCTGTTATTTCCTTCAAGTTCTCTGAGTCAGTCCACATCACTAGAGCACATGCAATTTAATATGTCAGCTTCTCCATTTTAGGGAGTGAAAAACCTTTACACCTTATTATAATCTGTAACAACACATTTCTCTCTCTAAATCTTGCAGAAGTCTCTCAACAGCTTTACTTCTCTCCCTAACACCTAAATATGCATACACAAATCAATCTGTGTTGGAAAAATCCCCCTTGGATTTGTGGATTGAAGGATGTGCTCACCCTGGGGATTTTGGGGCATGACTGAAAAGTGAGCACGTGCTAACTGCACGCTGGCTTTGAGCTGATCAGAGAGAGAAAAATCAGATTCTACAAGAAAATCAGAACTCCTGGCCAACATCTGCATGGTGACCACTTCAAATGTAATTTTCCTTCCACTAATACACACAGAGTGAAGGCTGAAATTCAAAGGCTCAGCAGTAATTTTTATTTGCTTTATATGGATTTTGACTTAGAAGCTTAAATTATTGTAATTGTGTATTTAAGGCCTAGGCCAAGCTCTCTGTTCACTTCAATGGGACTCCACTCAACCCCACAAAGTGCCTATTATAAATTTTCACACATAACTATCAAGGTACACACGTTCTGTAGTTCTGAAATGTTGGAAAAATGGCCTTTGGGGGGGGGTCAAAAAAGAAAGAAAATCAAAAAAAAGAAATCCCAAAGAGGTTAAAATTCCTTTTATGTGACAAGCTTTAGAGCCGAACACAGCTTTTTCCTGGTTAAGTCCATTAATTTGCTATATAGAAACATACTTTCAGTTTTGACTCTTGTTTTATTCCTGAATTTGAACTTCAAACAGAACAATTCAAAGCTTTAAAAAGGAAAAAATTAAAGGCTCTCCAGATACTGACACTCTAACAATAGGAATAAAGTTCTTTTTTTTCTCTTTGTCTTTTTGAGGAACCACTTAAAAACATTAAAATTGACAGGTTTTCTTAATATGTTAGGCTTTAAAAGAACAAAATACAAGGGAAAAAAGGCAAAATATCTAAAAGTGAAAGGGTAATTGCTACTTTATGAAGCTCCTGGGTTTCACCAATGTTGTTAGCTTTCTATACCATTTGTTATAAAATTTTTTAACTTAGGAAAATTATTTATTTCCACACAGTCAGGAATTCATAGGTCACATTAGAATAGAAACATTTCCTGTTTCATTAAACAGTCTTCCCTCTCACAAGAGGGAGTGCAAGAGTCAACATCTAAGAAAACAACAGCAAATCAGAACAATAGCCAACCATATAACCAAACAGCAAACAACAGCAACCAAAACGCCTCACAAAAGCAACCAAAGACATATTTTAATGACAAAAAGTCAAAATCTCCAAAATAAAATCTCTGAAAGTTTAAAACAAAATCTCCAAAAGTTTTACCCGT